GAATTTCCAGGAGAGGCATTTCCCGAAGGTTTGCTCTGTCTCGGCCGTGCCAGGGAATGCTGGCAGGGGAGCGGGAGGTCCGAGCCAGCCCAAAGGCATCTCGAGCCCGCCGCAGCGCAGCACTGCCAGCACATGGGCTGATCGGCGGGGCAGAGCTCACTCATTTATCTTCATTACCGCTCCACCTACCATCCATTTATGACACTTTAGAAAAACACTGCCCCCTCAGAAACCCATCCACACCTCCCTCCCGGAGCAGGACCTCCATGGGCCAGGAGGGACCCTGTGTTCGGGGTCAGCCATCCATAAACATCTCTTCCTCTCCAGAGGACCCCCGGGAGGTGTCTTCCAGCAGAAGTTCTGCTCTGGAGCAGACCTGCAGGCTCACCTGATGAGTGACACCTTAATCAGTGGCTGCTGCCAAAATATGCCATCCCCCGAATGCAGATGTTCAACTTCTTAAAGGAGATGACTCCCGAGGACAGGTTGTCTTGGGTTTATCGGTGTCACCCCTTCCCGTATCATCACTGAGATATCAAAGCTGGATGCCTTCAGAGCTTTGCAGAACAACCCCAGCGGGGAAGGCAACGCTCCACGGCTGTGCTGGGTCCCCCGCTGCCTTCCCCTGGCACAGCACAGAGGAAATCAGAGCAAAAAGCACTTGGAGCAGGTACCAGGATTACAGGAACACCTGGAGGAGCATCATGGAGACAGCTCGATGACTCGAGTCCACCCGACAGAGGAGGTGAGCATTGCTTCTGCAAAGGGCCATGCAAAACCATGCTCGCTTCTTGTTTATTAACAAGCAATTAGCAAAAGCACAATGCCTGAGGAACAGAACACACAAACGAGTGACACACCGCGCAGTTGCTCATCACCCGCAGACCAACGCCCAGCCCATTCCCAGCCAGCGATCCCAGAGGAGAGAAAATCCCAGCCCTGGTCTATACACCGAGCGTGACGCTGTAGATACAGAACATCCCACTGGCCAGTGTGGACATCTGGATCCCTCGCTCTGTGCTCCCTCCCAGCTCCTCATGCACCTGCACACCAGCAAAACGCGGGGAGTTGGACAGTCCGTGATTTCTAAGCAACAATCAAAACCATTGGTGTATTTTCAACATTCTTCTCATACCAAATCCCACGCTGCATCCAACACACAGCGCTGTTCTAGCTACTGAGAAGACAGCTCCATCCCAGCCCAAACCAGGACACTGGGAATCACGACAACACCGGTCAGCTGGAGCAAACTCCCGATGCTGGTGCAAGACGATGTCCCATTGCGGGCTGAAGGAAATTCAGGCTGGTCTATGTCCTCCCGCAGATGAGCCCTCCCGAAGCTCCCCTGCAGCACTCATCCTCGGCAGGCAGATGTTTCCCATCCACGAACGTTTATAAAGGCTGCAGCCTCGTCAGGGAACACTCACTTCCTCTCACAAGCCCCTCTTAAGTAATCTGCCTAAAATGTGCAGGGAGCCCTTTATGCAAGATCATCTTCTAATTATCCTCCAGTCAAAAGCACGTCTGAACTCCAGGACAGGGAGCAGAATTAATTCCTGACTCAGCTTCTGAATAATTCCCTTCTCTGAAGCTGGACAGGACACGCAGGAGGCGGCAGAGGCACTGGAAACATGGGATCTGTTCCCATCCCGTCCATACATGCGCTTTGCTCGTGTCCCTGTGCCAGCACCAGCCTGCTCTGCGGGGTCGTCTGCTGTGCGGATCCGGCTCTCGGGGACAGATTTATTGGGGCGCTTTGCCTGACGTTTGCACAACCTGTCAGGATCTGTGCGAGAGCTTTCCCATCCCCGCCTGCTGCAGGCGAGTCACGGAGGGCTGCTCCCGCGTGCAGCAGGGGGGTTGCTGCTCTGGAATCAGCTGGTGAGTCAATGCAGGAGAATGCAACAGTCACATTCTGTGTCACTGTTTTGTAACTGATGATAGCCTACAGCCAAATTAGAACAGAAATCAAGTGGTTCTTAAGAGAAGGGTCCGAGCTGATGAGGCCACAGTATGATTGCACAACTCGATGCACCCAGAGTAAAAGGAAAATGTCACTGGCCAGAAATAACCAAGGCAAGAAGATCCCCAATGGAGAAACACTCATCGTGGTGGATGCGCCCGTACTGATGCAATGGGTGGGTGTGTTATCTCGCTTTCCCCGATGACCAGACTCACCAAAGGGCCCACCAAAAAGCACAATACAACAGTCGAAGCTGGAAATGAGGAAAATTCCAAGCACATGAGCAGCATCCCTGATCACCGTCTCCTTCCCCCAGCACTAAGGGCTGGGGCATGCAGAGCACACCCCGCTTCGGAGGCGCAGAAAGGGAGGAGGGAGCCTGGAGACCAGAGACAGAGCTGGAAACTGGAGCTGCCTTTCTCCTCCATCCACCTTTAGTAAAAGTTGGGTGAGTTCAGACCCCAGCAGACTGCACGCAGCAGCTCACTGCGATTGCTGCTGTCAGTGTGACCTGATGTTGAGAGATTTCTGACCCATAAGCAGACCAGAACAGCTCGCACGTCCCCTGTGCAGACATACAGCCCCAACCCCAGAGGCGGGGAGGGAGCAGTCTCCGTCCTTTCCACCAGCAGAACAGGGCAAGCTGGGCGCTGCTTGGAGGCCGGTGGAGTACGGACCCCATCTGCTCTCTGCCCTTGCTACCAGCACTGTCCTCTGCTGAGAGCACACCACCGGTGCACATCTGCTCCCCATCCCCACAGCTGGTCCTGTTCTGGAACCGCAGCGCAGCCTCGCGTGGCTCCAGCCACACACCCCATATATTAGCAGTCAGGGAGTTGCATCTCCCCTCGGTGTGTCATCTCTGGGCAGGGGGAAGGGCAACGTTAATTTATGTCTGTACAAGCCCCATACATACGTCTCCCTCTCTCCAGAGGAGCCTGCTCTCGTGTTTAACCTCTTCAGCCCGCTGGCACCCGCAGCAGATGATGCAGTTTGCGGAGAGGTGCAGGCGCTCCCCTCTCCCCCTCCCCCTGGAATCTTCCTCTCACTTGTGGTCCTTGGGATTCACCCAATGTTTCTCAGAAAAAAAAGAGGACCTCAAGACAAGTATGCATTTAATAAGCAGTGAGACAAATAAGCTCCAGTTATCCCAGCAGAATTACAACACCAGAGAACAATTTTCTGCATTCCTCCGAAGGCCTGAAGGAACCCAATTGCCTGCTCTCAGCCTAAATAGGTACCAGACACCAAGCGCTCCGTAAGCAAACAGAGCCCCCAAAGTGCAAAAATGAAATAAGTAAAAAGCTTCACATTACATATAAACCAGCCGTTTGCACCTTGTTATTAATGGTCTTGACTATGACCTTTAAACCCTGCCTTGCTCAGAGTCATGGATCTACGAGCCTTGGCACCCTCACAACAATTCCAGGACGAGGAGCCGGGAATAAACAACCCTGGCCAGTGCCGGAGGAGATACGGGAAGGGAACCGGCCCATGACAAACACGGACCGAGAACCACTCCAGAGCAGCAGCCAGGGCTAAGAGGTGACCATCTCCGCTATGAATTTGTCAACATAACCTCAGTGACCGGGGTTTCTGACAGATGAAAAGTCCCGTTGCCACATACACACATGCACAAAGGCTGGTGACGCCTGCATCTATCCCCAAAGAATGAAGGGCTCACAGCACGGTAAATAACTGCAGAGAGCTCATTCCCCAGGGGATAACGAACTAGAGTTGCCTTGAGCAGACCCCGTTACCCAGAGATATTTATTAGTCTAACCTGCAACGCTCCTCCCTGAACACGGGCCAGTTACAGACTGCAGCCGTGGCAGCCACTCTTCCAAACGATTACCTCCTCAGATAAAGCAGGTACACGGGATATTACACCTGATGGACACCTGTCAGGCTGGAAGGATCAGTGTGGCTAAATGACATCAAATAGCCAAGAGCACTCTGCTATTAACTTCCAAATGCTTCATTTAAAGCCATCCAACATTAGAAAGTTCTGGTTCAATAACAAGATACCAAACCATGCTTGTGTGATCTCTCCAGATCCCATGCAACGGGAGTCTCGATCCACAAACATCTTTAGAGGCTCTTTATTAAAATCAGTGGTAAGACAGGGCAAATTCACCCAAGAATTTAGTTGCTCAGTTGGCTCACTCACACACAACAGCTTTGATAACACCTCCCTCCTTCCTTCCGTTCCTGTCCTCTCTGGAGATCACTTCTGGAGAAGGGAGAGGCTGGCAGGAAGAAAAGCACCGTTCCTCTGCCTGGACATTCCCATCAAAACCTAACCTGTCGTGACATGGTGAGACACTGCGAACAACAAAAAACCCAACAAACCAAACCCACCCCAACCGCAAACCCTGCCTAGGTGAGTCAGAGACTGTCATTACCCTGCTGTGCAAGCACACGTGTTACCATCAGGTGTATAAATAAATGCTGATATGCAAGTTCCTTGACTTTCACTGGCTGCTCTGAGTGAAATGAAAATTTGATAAGTCCACTAACATCCCATGCAGCTTCGTGGAAAGGCTTTGCCATCCCGATGGCTGTAAGGCCACCCCAGTGCATGCTTCAGGGAAATGGCAGCAATGAACACGTATCTGTGCTGAGGCATTATTGCCATTTTTATATATACATATATATATATACACACACACATATGAACACATGCATACAACTTAACTGCATGTGGACTGATCAGGTGGTAAGTGCCCAGAATCACTGGCACTTCGGGAGAGACCGGAGGATTTTCGTTACATGCCCTGCTGCCAGCTACACTTTCAGCATAAGCCCATCCCCTTCTGTTACTGTTATGTCAGGGGAGGACAGTGAGAGAAAGCAGCTCTTGGGATGATACATGGGAGGCAGCGCTTCATTTATAACCCCACACAAATGCTGGACAATGTTCAACTTTAAAAAGCATTAGGTTGGTTACCTTATGGGCCTCTGTGGACCATGAAGTGAAATTACATGAACACAACATATCTATTAATCACCACAATGATTCCACAGCGAGAAACAGCCCGTGGCATACATTCAATTGGAAAGAAAGTTGAGAAAATTACCTACTAGTAGTTAGGCAACTCAAAAAAATTTGGTAGTACCTTTCCGTAGGGCTCCCCTCTTGACTCCTTGATGAATTCAAGTATTTAACTTGGATTAAAGCCAGAAATATACAGTGGAGAGTAACAATGGCATTTCTGCCTACTAAACATGTGTGTTTCATCTCAGCCAGAGTTACAAATAAGCTACATGTATAGGAGATGCATAGGTGACTGTCCACTTCCTAGTACCTTGTTTACAAGGTAAAGAAGGATTTGGAAAAAAAAAAAAAAAAGGAAAAAAATCAATCTTCTGCATCAAGATAGATTACAGGTCAATTTCAATTGACCTGCAATTGATTGATTCAGGTATTATTTTAGAGAATAGAGTAGGCTACAGCAAGCTTCTTCCATGCAGGCTTTAGAAACCAGAATAATTTACATCACCTTTGAAAGAAGCAATCATCATCATGGCTTACATCAATCCTTCACAAGGATCAGTGAAGATGAAACATGTAAAATCTCCCTAGTTATTATGAGTACATGTGTTTATCTGTAAAATGAGAGATGATGGACAACTTTTCAGGTGCTCAGAATTAGCATTTATCCACAAGCCTGTGCTATTTTTATCATTTCCACTCTTAAGATGCCTTGGCTAACGTGACCCTGCTTCCCCCATACCAAGCAGCAGACCCAAATGTGAAAAAGTAGAGATTTGCTCTAATGGGGGAGAGTGGAAATGGAGGTCACACCCATTACCTCAAACCACTTGGCTGCCACAGCCATCTTTTCACCTTTGCAGTAAACAAACCCTTGAGGCTGGTCCGTATACGAAGCAATTCCTTTGAAGAGCGCTCCACATCTCAGTTCTCTTCAAGTCTTGATATCAACAATGACAGTACTTTGGAATAACACTTGAAAGTTCAGGTCTCCCAAAAAGACTCCCCTGCAGATATCACAACCACTTTTGGCAGTTTCCGAAACCATCCTGTTCTTCAAGGTGAAGTGGTTTGAAAGACAAAATCTAAAAAAATAACACTATGAAATAGAGGCACTTATACTACCGTTTCCTTGCATAACGCAAGCTTATAGGATATAGAAGAACCAAATCTTTATTTGCACACTGTACCCTATATTAAACAGACGCTTAAGAAGCCAACAAACTCAATGTGTTAAGAAGCAACCTTTTAATAAAGAAAGCAGAACCAAACTTTGCTGTTAACAAATATTTTGAAAAAGGCTTATAAAATTAAATCTAAGCCAATTAGCTGGTGCACCTACATCTGAGAAGGAAGTATCAATATTCCAAACATCTGCTTAGTTTGTGGCCCCTCCTTTCTTACAGAGGAAATACTAGCTTCCAGTTGTACAACTGACTAGAGAGCAACAAGGTATTGCTCAACAAAACCTACTTTCTTAGATTATTACAGACTGAGGCCAAAGGAGAAATTCATCCATGAAGCACCGTTACCAACATGGAAGCCTGTCAGAGACACCAGTTTGAATAGCACAGCTTTCTTCCTTGCCCCCACGTCTAGGGGTCAGCTAACCACCGGGGCTGAGGCTTGGGAGAACAACAGAATGGAACCATCACGGAAGCACGCTCCAGTCATGCTGCTGTCGGCTGATGCTGGAGACTGGACAGCAGCAGGACCTCAATGTTTTCCATAATGAAGCTGGAAGGTGAAGAGTCCCAAAGCACTGAAAGAAACAGAACACAACAACAACAAATTAGCTCACTTTCAAAAGCGACATCCTTTTACAGGCTCAAGGTATGAACAAAACCCCACCCTGTATCTTTCCCTCAAGGCACAGAGATCCTCTCAACGCTGATGCCATGAAACAGGCTTGCAGTAATCACGCTGTATTAGCCAAGACACACAAAAGAAGAAAAACGCCCTGGAAGCCCTGGCCCCAGCGCTGCCCACTCACCCCGGCGCGGTCCCTCAGCTGGAGGCCAGCACGCTGGGAGCACTCACGGGCCACAGCACCCGCAGCACCTGCGGAGAAGAGGAGGGTTAGACGGTGTGTCTGTGCTATGGCTCCTCCAGCTGCTCTGCCGAACGCTGGGGAAGGGGGTAGGGTGTTTTCTCAGGTATTCAGGCATGGATTATTTATAGATCATCGACTCAAACATGTGAAAACTGAACACACCATCTGGCATGACCAGCCCGTGCTTCCAGACAGGATCCATATTCTAGATGCCATCTAAACAGTTCCAGAAATAAAGACTATGGTAAAAATAAATGGTGCAAACTCTCCTGCACCTTCTCAACCCATCCCCCACGTATTCCGCTGGGACCCGTGTTATCCTCGTACAAACCTTCTTTTCACGAGGCAGCAATGACAGGACTCATTTACTTTGAGGGTTTTACTTTGGCCCTCCTGGCTTCTATCATAACCTCAAATATTACATTAAAAAGGCTTTTAAAACATAACATTCACAGCAGCGCAGGAGCTTTTCATTGCAGCTAGCTTCTTCCTTGCCTGTTTGCGGGTGGCACCTTCACATTAAGTGCATGAGTTAAGATGTAGATTAGCAAGGCAAGAAACCTTTGCCCTTGGCATCGACACTCAGCTGTGACAGGAAACTTCAGGCTTTTTTCTATGAAGTGTAGAACCACTCATTGCACATTGGCAGGGAAGTGCACATCTCCAAACTATACACATTTTCTCTTAGATAAGCAAAAGACTCAAGTGTTTATAAATATGAAAAGTTCAGCAGCTGGCTAAAAAGTTAATTCTCCAGTCTCACTTAATGAGCTTTGGGGAAAGTGGTAGGGGGATTTGTTCAGAAAGCAAAGCAGAGTGTCACAGAAAGCAGGACTTGCCAGACGGGGCTCTCTTTAGTCCTATTTTCTGTCTCTAGATGCCTACTATCAGCAAAATGGGAAGGAATCCTCTAACGGGGAGCTTCGGAACAACCAGAATGAGAAATGTTTTCTCCTAATCTTGCAATCATAAAAATTAGCCAATTTTTAAGTCCCATGACTTCCTTCTTTGTTGTGAAAATATCAAGCGATCCATATCACAACACTCTGGAACATGGACTGTCTTAGGATTTTGTCCAATTCCCTGAACGAGGAACTTGTTTTCA